AGAGCAACTGCAAAATCAGGACATGTTTCAGTTTTTGGACCATTTCAACTCCTAAATATTATGCGATCATCTACAAAAGCAATAGGCTTCTATTCTGACCCTAGCCCCACCTCCATTCTAAATTTCGTGAAGATCAGCCCATAATTGCAAGCTGTAGTGTGATTACAAATTAACATAGACAGACGGGCGGACTGTCATACATAGCAAGATCGACTCAGCTGGGCGAGATAGGATATATATGGATATATACTTTCCTATATGGGAAACCAATATTTCGAGGTGTTACATAATTTTTGACCCACTCAAACTTATAATACCCACTTTACATTCGGTACTTTCATGATTGCAGTCCCATTGAATTTTGCATTTTGAGTTCTCATTGGACGGATTATTGTCATATGAAAGAAGTAGGTCCACGTTTTGAAATGAGCCCATAACGCTTGTTCGCATCTTGTAGCTGAAGCACGATGTAAATCCTGGAGTTGAAAGCTAGATGCCAATTTTATGCATGAAAGATCGACATTTAACATCGTATTGCGCACTCATTTAAAAAAAAATAATAATCTTGCTGATTTTTACAGCAAATGTTTAAAGGTTCTTACGAAGTTTGTCAATAGAATGTACTATAATTTTGAAATTTAACATTTTATCTCGATTTCTTTTCCGATTTTAGAATTTTTGCAATAAGGTACTCTCTTCTTTTAAACCCTCCACCATACTATGGAGGGTATATTAACTTTGTCATTCCGTTTATAACTCCTCGAAATACTCATGTCAGACCCAACAAAGTATATATATTCTTGATCAGCATAAAATTCTAAGTCGATTTAGCCCTGACCGTCCGTCTGCCTGTCTGTTGTAATCACGCTATTTTTCGAACGAATTGAGATAGAAGGCTTAAATTTTGCACACATGTTTATTTTTCCAATAGGCAAAATGGGCCATGTAGGTCCACGTTTTCATATAGCCCCCATATATAAGTACAGATATTCGGTATTTTGATGATTTTAGCGACATTATTCACGGGAATTGTTTCAAACTTGATATTTGACGTTCAAAATGGATACTACACCCTAAGACAGAAAATTGTCTGTGCAGGTCCACGTCTTCATATAGGCCCCATATAACGGTACCTCCCTATATTCGGTATTTTAATGATTTTAGCGACATTATTCACCGGAATTGTTTCAAACTTGGTATTTAGATTTGTAATGAATACTACAGCCTATGACAAGAGATTGTCTCTACAGGTCCACGTCTTCGTATAGCCCCCATATAACGGTATCTCCCAAAGAGGTCGTCGTAAAAAACTTTCGCATATTTGTCGCACCGTTGGCCACCACCACAGCAACCTCTTAACTTCATAATGCGCTCCAACTTTGCTTGGCTTCAATGTCGAAATAAGCCTGACAGGCACACTAAAAGCTTTACATTCACAATAGGAATATCTCGACCAACACACATGCAAGGGAATTGAAACTAACCATCATAGGAGACGTTGTTTCAACGCTCTTACTGCAATAAGGACAATTGGAACGAACGCAATGCTCCACATTGCATCTATAACAGGCAAGCTTTGGTTTGATAAATGCTAACTCTGCTTCAGCTTTTGCCTTTGCAACCTCATTTTGCAGTTTTCCACTGTGTACTCCTTTTTGCGACAATGTATACAACGTTTCGGCCAGCCTTGGGGACCACTTTTATTACCAACAGTGTTCATCTCGAGTTCACGCGTCATATGTTCTGCTTCTCTTGCATCAGCAAGCAATTATTCGAAATTCTGAGCGTCCAACATGCAAACTCAATTGCAATGTGATTACCTTAATCCGGAATTTTATCCAATTGGGAAAAGCGTGATCTCTTTTCGCAAACAAAAGCATCAGTCGACTCATTCTTCTGTTGCTTCGATTCATTTATTTCAGCATAAATGCGCCAATCTGGTTTAGGGGGTGAGAATGCATCACGGAGTATATTCACTACATCAGCAAAAGTTGTTGCCTTTGAGTTGACTCCACGCCACCATTCCGCAGCTTCACCTTCCAGCAACATTGGCACACCATTTATCCGAAATCGATTCCACAGTCTTGTACGTAGTAACGGTAGAGATAAATTCCTCCACTTTTACTGGATTCCGCTCTCCATTGAACTTTGAACGACAACCACTGAATTGACATTTTTCGCTTTGCTTGTTGACAGCGCCTATCAATTCCTTAAATTGTTCCGTCGAAAGAAACAACATATTTGTTTTGGCTGCAATACATTGACTTCGACGTAATACTTCCTCCTTTAAAAATTCGCCAAAAACAGAAAAAAATTGCAAACAGCACAGTTGTTTACAAGCGTACAAAAGCATTTTGGTGAGAATTTTCCAGATAAAAGATATTCGTGATGGAATTTAAGCGTGATAGTGTGATTTCTTTATATTTGGCTGGTAGACCACAAGTGGCTATCGTTAGAGCACTCCAGGATTTAAATGTGAATAATTTTTTTGTGTCTCCTACCATCGCTCGTTACCGTGATCCCGGTAGCGTAGCCCGACATCAAGGAAGTGGACGGAAGAAAACAGCAAACATCAGCAGAAATAGTTCGAAAAGTAAAGAAGCGACTTGATCGAATTCCGGGAATGGTCCAAAATACCGCAGAGCAACATTCGGGCAGCGTGTGTCGGTTTCATTGGCCGTTTGAAGTCCATAATTCGTGCCAAAGCTGACCAATTCGAACAAATGCTATTTCCGACATGTTTTGCTTTCATTCAATAAAATTTAAAAAAAAGTAAAAATTATGGAATTTGATTTTGCTGCAGTTTTTTATCTCACCCTGTATATGCATACATTTATTTAAAATAACTCACAATCATTCATGCGCAACGGCAACCATTGCTGCCACGTATACACAAAACATTGTTGTTTGTGTTAAGTAATAATTACAACAAGGCATGGGAGAGAAACAATAATAAATGATGCAGTAGCAAATAACGATGTCACATACATACATCACTATTGTTTGCCTCTAATGCCCTACAACAAAACATCATATCATTAAGAAACGGCCGCATACAGCAACCACGTATTCCCTTGCACTTGTTGTTTTTGTATTTAGCAAAAATATTAGCAACAACAAAGCAGCATAGCAAAGAGAAACGACCGCGTACAGCAACCACGTTTTCCCTTGTACTTGTTGATTTGGTACAAATAATAGCAACACAACTTAACATCAAGAAAACGGCCACGAATAGTATCCACAAATTCTTGCTTACTTGTTGTGTTAGCTAGAGGACCTTACTTACGAACCTGCAAACGAATGAACAATTCTTGTCGATGTCGCTTCTTTTATACTCTCAGCAGAGAGCTTTCAAACACAAAATAGAACGATCATTCTAAAATACAACGATTTTATTTACTAATTAGTCATTCAAGTATGGCAATGCAAGAAAACAAATAATATGGTTACGTTACGTTAAAATACGTGTTACAAATGTATGAATTCAAATATAATTATACTTGAAACTAATGTTCCGCTACATACTCCCCCTTTGACGTGCGGGATCGCGTCTGGAGTAGCGCGTCAACATCTGCAAGTTCAGAATCAATTGAATTTCTTGGACCTGCCTCTCTTTCTCATCGGATGAACTGGCTTTAGAGTATCAACTGAGTTGGTACCCTTTTACATAGTCAAGGCTGAAGCATGATATGTATCAATCGGTATATTCAAATAAACGGGTGAGGACACTTCGTACGTAGATGAACCAATTTTGCTGGTAATGACATAAGGACCATCACGTTTGGGTACAAACTTTGAAGTAAGGTTGTTTAATGTGCTGCTCAAAACGTGAGTGTTCAGTGAGTGTTCTTTTCTAGTCAACATAGCCTTTTTCTTTGTCATCTTTAAGGATGTTTTTCGATTGTTTTTAAATAAGATATCTCTGGGACAACGTTTTCTGATTCGACGACAGATCTGACGTCATGTTATACATCATCTAGAGTTCGCATTTTTCATCCAAAGGTTAGAAAGCAGTGCTTTGGAATTTCGACGAATTCATGGCAAAACGAATAGTTGGTAAACAATGGTGCCACTCATCATGATGCTCTTGAATAATAATTGCTAGCTGACATTTTAGATCTCGGTTCTTACATTCAACAGGATTTGCTTCGGAATGGTAAACTGGAGTGAATTGTTGTTGAATTTCCAAGCAATACGTTACTTTCTGCATTACAGCGGAGACAAACTACACGCCTTTGTCCGATTTAACACGTCGTGGTTTTCCGAAGCGCAGAAATATTTTTTTATGAGGATTTTCGCACATACTTTTGCTGCAGCTTCTTTTAACATGAACAGTTCAATGCAGCTGACCCCTGATTTGGTCCTTAATTACCCCTGATTTGGTCCTTAATTACTCGTTAAAATGTACGCGCTACGGCTTATTGCAACCTTGTGCTAGCGCCTTTGACATTTTAACGAGTAATTAGTTGTCACTAGTTTTGCCGCCTCCTTAAGACATCAAGTAGTATTTCGCTGTCATTCGGACAGACAACACCCGCATTATCGTTTGCAAGCACATATCGTTGTGCATAGAGAGGCATATTGTTGCCAGGGGTAATATCGTTACCTCTTACCAAACTAAGAATAAATACTTCTATATATTAAGGAAACCCCCGTGTGTTTTATTTCTTTTTATATATCACCCTACGGTCCACTGCTCGACGCATTCGGCGTATTCACTGCTATTGGCGGAGCCCCTCTGAGCTAAACACCTATCATCCCAGGCCAAAAATATCTAATGGCAATGCCTGCAATAGTTCTCTCTGTTCCATAATGACCTGCCATACTATCATCATGATAACTTTTCAAAAATTTTGGACGCTCATGTATCGGTACGACCAATAGTGCATCATGGCAATCATCGTTTCTATAACAAAAAAAATTCCATTATTTAGAATATAACTCCTATTTATCCATTTTAGAGAATTTTCATCATGTTACTCGAGTGACATTATTACATCTTATAGGTAATCATCTTTCATTTGATTTTCTCTTCTCTGAACTAAATCGTCCATGCGAGGTAGTAGATATCTATCTGGTATAGTTATGGCATTAAGATTTCTATAGTTCACACAAACTCGAACCAAGCCATCAGTTTTAGGAACCATCACCACAGGCGAGGCCCAGGCGGAGTCACATTCCTCTATTATATCATTTTCTAAAAAAATAGTCTCAATTTCTCGTTTTAACTCGCATGTTTTCGCAAAAGACAACCTGTATGGCGGTGAGAGAATAGGTGCATGCTTACCTGTATCTATTTTGTGAACAGCATATGGTGTAGGTTCACCGGAGTCAGCAAAAACTTTTGCAAATTCCACCAATAACGTTTCCATTTCTTGTTTCTCGTCCTCACTAAGATTTACGCCGTCGGAGAGGTATAGCATCTATGAATATAGACTGAATAGAATGAGGAGAATAATTATTTTGATGGTAATCTGGGCCATATGATTCAAACTCAGACACGAAATTTTGGCAAACTCTCTCTGGAGTGATAAATTTGGACTCAACATGTTAGACTCAAACGTCCGTTGCCTACGTTTGGGTTGCGAATTTACCACTGTAATCGTTTCTACCAAATTCAATTCAAATGGCCATTCTTCAGCGAAATCAAAAACCTGGGGTACCAGTGTCTTTGTCCAATATTCAAATTTTCAATATTGAAGCCAAGTAGTGTTCGATTATTTTTGTCATCTGAAATGATCAGAATTTTGAAGTCAAACGTTCTGCCGCCTATGCCAATTTCACAGGTCGTCGTAAAGAACTTTCGCATATTTGTTGTACGGTAGGCCAAACTTGCAACCTCTTAACTTCATAATGCGCTCCAAATTTGCTTGCTTATTTTGGCTTAGAGCATTGCATCTATAACAGGCAAGCTTTGGTTTGATCAATGCTAACTCTGCTTCAGCTTTTGCCTTTGCAACCACCATTTTGCACTTTTCCACTGTGTACTCCTTTTTTGCGACAATGTATACAACGTTTCGGACAGCCTGGGGGACCACATTTATTACCATCAGTATTCACCTCGCGTTCACGTGTCATATGTTTTGCTTTTCTTGCATCAGCAAACAATTCTTCAAAATTCTTTATTTTATGCCGGGAAACTTTCTCTCTGATATGAGCGTGCAACATGCAAACACAATTGCAATTTGATTAGCTTCAGCCGGAATTTTATCCAATTAAATATTTCAGCATAAATGCCTCAATCTGGTTTAGGGGGTAAGAATGCATCACGGAGCATCTTCACTACATCAGCAAAAGTTGTTGCCTTTGAGTTGACTTCACGCCACCATTCCGCAGCTTCTCCTTCCAGCAACATTGGCACATCATTTATCCGAAATCGATTCCACAGTCTTGTACGTTGTAACGGCAGAGATAAATTCCTCAACTTTTAATGGATTCCGCTCTCCATTGAACCTTGAACGACAACCACTGAAAGAACCACATTTTTCGCTTTGCCTGTTGACAGCTCCTAGCAATTCCTTAAATTGTTCCTTCGAAAGAGACAACATATTTGTTTTGACTTCGACGTAATACTTCGTCCTTTAAGTTTTCGCCAAAAACAGAAAAAAATTGGAAACAGCACAGCTGTTCCGGTTATTTCCAGGCCATAGGGCCACGATTCAACTTATATACCACAACCACCGAAGTCGGCATAGAAATTCCAAGAACTTCAAAAGTATGCCAAAAACACCAGGTCGTTTTTCGGGCCACTCCGTTGGGAGTCAATTTGTAGCAGAACCTCCACGAATGAGTGCTAATTTGTAGTGGTAGCTACGTTGGATGACAGTTTTGTAGTGGATTATTTCGTCGCGGGCGCCAAATTGAGGAATATCTATTAGCCCTCCGAAGTAATAACTACTTAATTGTTGAAGTTTAATGATTACAAAAGTTGTTTTATTTGGAAAATACTGGTTAACTGCCAATCACTGCAAACGAAGAATAAAAACATATATACAGGTTGAGATGAAAAAACTGCAACCAACTTCAGCTCTAAGATGAAAAAAACTGCAATCAACTTCATTTCTAAGCCACTCGTCCGACAGCTGTTAAAATTATTCCAGTGACAGTTCATTACATTGTTTTAAGCGTGATAGTGTGATTTCTTTATATTTGGCTGGAAGACCACAAGTGGCTATCGTTAGAACACTCCAGGATTTAAATGTGAATAAATTTTTTGTGTCTCGTACCATCGCTCGTTACCGTGATCCCGGTAGCGTAGCCCGACATCAAGGAAGTGGACAGAAGAAAACAGCAAAAATCAGCAGTAATGGTTCGAAAAGTAAAGAAGGGACTTGATCGAATCCCGGGAATGGTCCAAAATACAGCAGAGCAACATTCGGGCAGCGTGTGTCGGTTTCATTGGCCGTTTGAAGTCCATAATTCGTGCCAAAGGTGACCAATTCGATCAAATCTAAACTTCATCTAAATTTGATGCTATTTCCGACATGTTTTGCTTTCATTCAATAAAATTTAAAAAAAAAAGTAAAAATTATGGAATTTGATTTTGTTGCAATTTTTTAATCCACCCTGTACATGCATACATTTATTTAAAATAACTCACAATCATTCATGCGCAACGGCAACCATCGCTGCCACGTATACACAAAACATTGTTGTTTGTGGTAAATAATAATTACAACAAGGCATGGGAGAGAAACAATAATAAATGATGCAGTAGCAAATAACGATGTCACATACATACATCACTATTGTTTGCCTCTAATGCCCTACAACAAAACATCATATCACTGAGAAAAGGCCGCGTACAGCAACCACGTATTCCCTTGTACTTGTTGTTTTTGTATTTAGCAAAAATATTAACAACAAAGCAGCATAGCAAAGAGGAACGACCGCGTACAGCAACCAAGTATTCCCTTGTACTTGTTGATTTGGTACAAATAATAGCAACACAACTTAACATCAAAAAAAAAAAAAAAAACGGCCACGAATAGTATCCACAAATTCTTGCTTACTTGCTGTGTTAGCTAGAGTACCTTACTTACGAACCTGCAAACGAATGAACAATTCTTGTCGATGTCGCTTCTTTTATACTCTCAGCAGAGAGCTTTCAAACACAAAATAGAACAATCATTCTAAAATACAACGATTTTATTTACTAATTAGTCATTCAAGTATGGCAATGCAAGAAAACAAATAATATGGTTACGTTACGTTAAAATACGCGTTACAAATGTATGAATTCAAATATAATTAAACTTGAAACTAATGTTCCGCTACATATTCCCCCTTTGACGTGCAGGATCGCGTCTGGAGTAGCGCGTCAACATCTGCAACTTCAGAATCAATTTAACTTCTTGGACCTGCCTCTCTTTCTCATCGGATGAACTGGCTTCAGAGTATCAGCTGAGTTGGTACCCTTATACATAGTCAAGGCTGAAGCATGATATGTATCAATCGGTATATTCAAATTATCGGGTGAGGACACTTCGTACGTAGATGAACCAATTTTGCTGGTAACGACATAAGGACCATCACGTTTGGGTGCTCAAACGTGAGTGTTCAGTGAGTGTTCTTTTCTAGTCAACATAGCCTTTTTCTCTGTCATCTTTAAGGATGTTTTTCGATTGTTTTTAAATAAGATATCTCTGGGACAAAGTTTTCTGATTCGACGATAGATCTGACGTCATGTTATACATCATCTAGAGTTCGCATTTTTCATCCAAAGGTTAGAAACCAGTGCTTTGGAATTTCGACGAATTCATGGCAAAACGAATAGTTGGTAAACAATGGTGCCACTCATCATGATGCTCTTGAATAATAATTGCTAGCTGACATTTTAGATCTCGGTTCTTACATTCAACAGGATTTGCTTCGGAATGGTAAACTGGAGTGAATTGTTGTTGAATTTCCAAGCAATACGTTACTTTCTGCATTACAGCGGAGACAAACTACACGCCTTTGTCCGATTTAACACGTCGTGGTTTTCTGAAGCGCAGAAATATTTTTTTTATGAGGATTTTCGCATATACTTTTGCTGCAGCTTCTTTTAACTTGAACAGTTCAATGCAGCTGACCCCTGATTTGGTCCTTAATTACCCCTGATTTGGTCCTTAATTACTCGTTAAAATGTACGCGCTACGGCTTATTGCAACCTTGTGCTAGCGCCTTTGACATTTTAACGAGTAATTAGTTGTCACTAGTTTTGCCGCCTCCTTAAGACATCAAGTAGTATTTCGCTGTCATTCGGACAGACAACACCCGCATTATCGTTTGCAAGCACATATCGTTGTGCATAGAGAGGCATATTGTTGCCAGGGGTAATATCGTTACCTCTTACCAAACTAAGAATAAATACTTCTATATATTAAGGAAACCCCCTTGTGTTTTATTTCTTTTTATACCCTCCACCATACTATGGAGGGTATATTAACTTTGTCATTCCGTTTGTAACTCCTCGAAATACTCATGTCAGACCCAACAAAGTATATATATTCTTGATCAGCGTAAAATTCTAAGTCGATTTAGCGATGTCCGTCTGCTTGTCTGTCCGTCTGTCTGTCTGTTGTAATCACGCTATCTTTCGAATAAATTGAGATAGATGGCTAAAATTTTGCACACATGTTTATTTTTCCAGTAGGCAGGTTAAGTTCGTAAATGGGCCATGTAGGTCCACGTTTTCATATAGCTCCCATATAACGGTACCTCCGGATTTTCGGTATTTTGATGATTTTAGCGACGTTATTCACCGGAATTGTTTCAAATTTGGTATTTTAAGTTCCAAATGGATACTACACCCTAAGATAGAAAATTATCTGTGCAAGTCTATGTCTTCGTATAGCCCCCATATAACGGTACCTCCCGATATTCGGTATTTTGATGATTTTAGCGACATTATTCACGGGAATTGTTTCAAATCTGGTATTTGAAGTTCCAAATGGATACTACACCCTAAGACAGAAAATTGTCTTTGCAGGTCCACGTCTTCGTATAGCCCCAATATAACGGTACCTCCCTATATTCGGTATTTTGATGATTTTAGCGACGTTATTCACCGGAATTGTTTCAAATTTGGTATTTGAAGTTCCAAATGGATACTACACCCTAAGATAGAAAATTGTCTGTGCAAGTCTATGTCTTCGTATAGCCCCCATATAACGGTACCTCCCGATATTCGGTATTTTGATGATTTTAGCGACATTATTCACGGGAATTGTTTCAAATCTGGTATTTGAAGTTCCAAATGGATACTACACCCTAAGACAGAAAATTGTCTTTGCAGGTCCACGTCTTCGTATAGCCCCAATATAACGGTACCTCCCTATATTCGGTATTTTGACGATTTTAGCGACATTATTCACTGGAATTGTTTCAAATTTGGTATTTTAAGTTCCAAATGGATTCTACACCTTAAGACTGAAAATTGTCTGTGCAGGTCCACGTCTTCGTATAGCCCCCATATAACGGCACCTCGCTATGTTCGGTATTTTGATGATTTTAGCGACATTATTAACCGGAATTGTTTAAAATCTGATATTTGAAGTTCGTTATGGGAACTACAGTCTGTGACAGAAAATTGTCGGTGCGGGTCCAGTTTCGAATTTGAATATGGTAATGGCTTATGACAAACAATGCATATGTATGTCCACGTCGTATAGACCCCAACATAACGGCTATATTCGGTATTTTTAAAATTTTAACAGAATTTTTTAAGGTTTTTATTTTTTGAAAATTTCCAAATTCGTTGTAAATGGTGGAGGGTATTGAAAGTTCGGCCCGGCCGAACTTACTGCTTTTTAACTTGTTATATATTACCCTACGGTCCACTGCTCGACGCATTCGGCGTATTCACTGCTATTGGCGGAGCCCCTCTGAGCTAAACACCTATCATCCCAGGCCAAAAATATCTAATGGCAATGCCTGCAATAGTTCTCTCTGTTCCATAATGACCTGCCATACTATCATCATGATAACTTTTCAAAAATTTTGGACGCTCATGTATCGGTACGACCAATAGTGCATCATGGCAATCATCGTTTCTATAACAAAAAAAATTCCATCATTTAGAATATAACTCCTAT